GTGCTGATTTCCTGGAAACAGTGATCTTCAGAAACACAGGACTGTAAAAGTTTGAACTCATTTTTCAGAAGTTGGTGTGAAAAAGTAGGGWGGGAGGACAGAATGAGTAGCTGGGTCCCATTGAGTTGTGGCTCTGATCTGTGGTCTCAGGGCACCATCACTCAGCCCAAACACCACCCTCCAGAAGAGGAAAGGAGGAATTGTGTCCTTCTGTAAAGTTGCTCACTGCAGTGCAGGAGGGAGGGCATGGCAGCTCCTGCACCTGCCATCAGCTGTGGTGAGACATGTGGAGTGTCTGCAGAGTCTGTTTTGGGATGTCTTTCTGTGGAACTCACCAACATCCCCAGAAGTCCTGCAGCTCAGAGCTTTCCAAGGTGTCTCATGAACTGGGGTGGTTATCAGCTGCCTCATGGCTCAAGATGTCTGGAAAATGGGATTTCTCCCATGTTAAAAATCAGCTGCTCACCAAAACTGAGGTGATCAAAGGTTCAAACTGTGTCATGGGAGGAAAACTTCTGGAAGAGCTGTCCAAGCAGAATGCATTGGGAGTTTTGTGGTTATCAGCTTCCTGAGCTTTGTCTCTTGGATTTACTACTGTTGTGTATCAAATAACTGCTCCTATCAAGTGCAGAGGTTTGGAGGTGCTTCCCATGCCACCAGGGAGTTTGGAGATGCCTTTATGTCAGGGTCAAGGAGGTKGGACACCCTTGCATGAGGAGGCCTGCCAGCGTGCGTGGTTTCTATCACTGCTTCAATTCTTTTGAGCAAAATTTTTCTTCCAGAAAATGTCAGAGTCATAAAAATTCAGTGCTGGAACTGGAGAAGGAGGTAGCAATGAAAACTGATGGATTGATCAGCTTCCCTGTTAAACTGGGAGCTGTTGCAGCCACACTGGAACTGTCAGCAGGCTTGGGAAGACCATGTCTCCCAGACCTGCCAGTAAAGTGTTGCGCAACTTATTCCCTCCAGTGGAAATTTAAATTCTACAGAAATTAGTTGCCTAGAGGCCTTTCATCTTCAAGGAAGTTTCCTTCTTGCCTTAGTGGTTTTTTTCCCATGCTTGATGAAGAACATCAGTGAAGGAGGTGCATGACTGGTGAGAACCAAAGGGAGTGCCACATGGATTTGGCTTTAGGGGCGGGATTGGTGWGATCTTCCTCCCACTGTGGATGCTGGAGGTGATAGAATTCTTYCCCAGAGCACACCAACCCTGGGATTTTTGCATAGAGCAAAGAGTAGCATGTTTGGCAAAGGCTGGGGACTTTGCATCTTTGATTTAAAATTGAAATAGCCATYGRGRGAAGTTRTGCAAGGGAGACTGGGGATCCCAGKCTGGAAGGAAAAGGTTATCCTTAGGGACTCAGCATGCAGTGGGAGCTCCACATAGAGCAAGAGGGCTGAAGAGGAGCTCATCTCTCTGCTCAATTACATTGAGGCTCCAAGATCTGATGGTGCTGATGTCCAGAGTGCTGGGTGCTTGGTCAGAGTGGGAGATTTGGGGATGGATGGCATACAGCCAAGACAACACACAAAACAAACCCAGAGCAGGTAGAAGGAAGCCCCAAGGAGATTTTTGCTGGTTTATTACAGCAGTTTTGGCCCTTGTCAGCATTACCAGAATGTGCAGTGATCAGTGGAGGGTTTTRTGCAAAGAAAAGGCAGCTGGTCAGGCTGACTTACTCAGGTCGCTGTGATCTCTGTTATAATTGTTCCCTATGTGATTATTTTGAGGGTTGAGCCACTGAGAGCTGCRGAAGAGATGTGCAGCTTCATTTCTGCAATGTATGAAATGTTCTGTGTTCATTTCAAAAACGCTCATTGCTCTTTCTGTCTTAAAAAATGAAATGAAATTCCAGAAGTCTGCGGGAATTTTTGTGAAGTCTAACTTTAAATGCTCACCTTTCCTTTTATCACCCTTATCAGTGCATAAAGCTCAGTATGTGAGGTTTTTAGCTGACATTTCAAATCGCTCTGAGGGTGCCTGAATCCCTTTTAAAGCAGCCTCCCCTCCCAGATCAGAAGTGACCATTTTTTTTGTTAGACTCCATGTTCCTTTAATGTTTTCCTCCTAATAGATGTTGAAAGCGTTCTTCAGAGGCAAGGCACAAAACATTCAAATAGTGATACGAGCCAGCTGAAGAGAGTTGTCAGGGAGAGGGAACATTAGGAGAAGGATTGAATACAGATGGATTCCTCAAAAGTAATGTAACCTGTTATGATTGCTTTGAAATCCTATACCCTTTCCATCTCCTTACGCTTACCARAAGTTTACATTTGCATTGATGTATTAGAGGCAGAGCTAAAATGGAAGTAATCCCTGTTGTACACATGCTTAAGTGTGTAATTTTAGCTAAATACAACAGTTGTGACCAAACCTCCATCCTCAGTGGGAAGACCACAGCTGGAGAGCGTTGTGGGAGAGCCCAGCCATCCCAGCTCCTCCAGAGGTGCCAGGGGCCACCCAGGACCCATCTGCTCACTCTTGGTTCCTTCACCCATCACAGTTCCACACCCAAGGACCTCTTCAGGTGCTCTCTGCTGCTCTTTGTATCAGCAGGTACAAAGGAAAAATGGATTACCCTGTGCATTTTATTCTGTATATCTGAGTGCTTTCTTAATGTACAGCTGGAATAATCCATGCCTCTTYCAGACAGTCCTGGCAAAAGGTCCACTAGAAGTTGGTGCTATATTTTAATTGGGTTGTCCACAAATGATCCTTCTCTTTGCCCTCAGGGAAGGCCTGAGCTATCCATCATTCCTGCCTCAATTTAAGAGGTTGTCTCAGCCTCCATCATGCTGCTGTCATGTTGGATTTGACAGGAGGGYTGCACTGCACAGCGCTCCTTTAATGTTCAGAACTGACCGTTCTGCACGGGGAGAATGGCTGAAGGGGGCTGGTAAGGTTTTCACTTATTATCCCTTGCTTTTTAGGGTGAACTTGTTCAAATTATTTCCAGTACTTGCCCTAGAAAGCCATTCTGAAATCTGATGGAATATAGAAATAAGTTTGCTCCAGTGCACATCTGCAGCAACCAACAGAAAGTTTGCATGCTAGAAGGTGTTTGCGGTGTCTCACCATCCCAAAGCTCCCTCAGTGCTCATCCCCAACTGATTCTATATTGTACCCAAGAATGGAGAAACCTCACAAGGCTCCCTCCTGCCAAACAGCCATGAAAAGCCTCAGTTGKCTCAGTTTTGAATGCTCTTTGCGTCAGTCTGCAACTAGACTGAGCTTCATCACCCGAGAAGAAATGCCTTGGTTGGTTTGTGGCACACAAAATAGTAGTTTTCTCWTTGTGAGAGTAGGAGAGTAATTTCTAACTGGCCCCATAATGGACCTGAAGTAATAAGATTTTTCCTAGTGAGCAGTGAATATACATGAATTCGAAGGAAAATAGGTTGTGTGTCGAGGTCCCAAAGGGCAGGTGAGTAGGAGCTGGGTGRGCAATGCATTAGCTGAAGGCTCCAGCCCTGTCCCAATTCAAGTTTTACTATACTTTGGTAATGCTTCCATCCTGGTACACCATGTGCCATATTTTCCATAACAACATCTGAAAACCTCTGCCTTAAATGGGCTCTCTGCCAGTCCCAGTTCATGTAGTGCCTGTCCTGTATTATACTCCATACAAATATACACAAACTGCCAGCTTTAGCCTTTGCTGGTGTCTTCCTCACCTCTGGTCCCTCCATGTGTGTGTTTCTCATGGGTTTCCTTGTCTTATCTAAATGTAAACTCACTGGGGCAGGGCCTGCGTTCTGTTTTCTGTGGGACTTTAACCACTGCAGTAGAGCCAGAAACTCTTTTTTCTTGGCAAAGCAGGGGAGCACATGTTGCACGATCTGCCCTCCATAGAGATGTTTGCTYAGGGCCCATTGCAAACCACATCAAACTAGGTGCCAGTTACTGAGTTACTAAATAAAAGATGATGCAGATGAGCTTTGTGATCAGAACTAAAACAGGACTCTGATTTTCCAAGCTTGGAAAACCCAGGAATCCATCAACTTCAAGGTATCTTAAAAATGCTGCTCTTCATGCAGCGGGGCAGGCAGGGAGAGCAGGGGATTAAATACTGTTTGGTTGGTGTGAATGTTTCAGCTTGTTCCTCCTGGCAAATTGCAAAATTACTTGCAGTGAGAACAAGCTGCCTGCATGGCCTGTCTGTCCTGCAGGGTGGCAGAGCTGGAGGCACATTGGCAGCAATGGCTTTTCTATGCTGGTGRCAGAGTCAGTGTGAAGGAATTCTTGCCTGCTTGGTTCACAGGCTGCTTCACCATCAATGCAGGTCTCCTCCTGAGCAAGGAACTCACTGCCCAGGTCAGCTCACAGAGGCAGCCTCCCCTCCTTGATGTTTTGCTGAAGTGAAAGGAGGCTGGCCTGCATGTGTGCTTGAGTAACAAGGTATGTGCTGTGTATAAACCAGCCTCCATAGATCCGTGAACAGGTTGGCCACTGGAAAAGCTGGTGTGATGAGGTGGTCCTTCCTGGTGGAATTTGCAAGTGGCTGATGTGCWTCAGTGTGACACTGGAGGTCTGTTTTAGGTTCTGTGTTATTTCCTTGCTTCATATCCCTCCCTCAACAAACATGTTGGAGTAAAGAGGGATGTTAAAGCAAGCACAGAATGGGTGAGYTGTGCTCTTCCTGTTGGAAGAGCAGAAGCTTGTTTGGACTAAAAAAAATCTGTCTTACTCTCTAGGAATTGCTTTTAGATGCTCATGGAATGACAATGCTAAGCAGCTACGCATGGACTTTGTAAACCCTGACGGAAACTGGATTTCTTCTCTACATTCTTGTTCCTCCCTTCTTTATATCTACCAGTATCATCTTCATTACTCTGCGATTTCCCTTTTTCTTCCAGTTATGAGTCAAATTGTTCATGTCTCTATTAGTGCAAACACAGCCTGTCACTGAGTCTGGGGCTCCAGCAGAGCCCTTCCTCCTGGTGATGCAGAGTATGGTCAAGGTTGTGTCCTTCTAATTTGACTTTTTTTTCTCTCACAGGCATGGGTCRTGGAGAGAGCCTGTTAACCCCTACTATGTCAACACGGGCTATGCTTTGGCTCCTGCCACCAGTGCCAACGACAGCGAGCAGCAGAGCATGTCCAGCGACGCCGACACCATGTCGCTGACAGACAGCAGCGTGTAAGTAACTCCCCTGGGGGGACAGGGACACCTTTGTGTCTTCAGCAGTGCTGCTCTTGGGTTGTTTTGGGAGAGGCTTTGCCACAGCTGGGGTTGGGGGATGTCTGAACAGAGCACGGTYGTGATCATTCTCACTTTCTTTGCAGTTGTTTTGTCACTTTGCAGGCTACTCAGCCTTGCCAGTCTTGAAAACACTTTCAACATAAAATGCTTTGAGTGAACTGTAATAAATGGTGTTTAGTCAGMGTTTCTGCAATGTTTCTTAAGCCAGCTGCAAGGATTGGTAGTGTTGAATGGCTTTGTTGTAACTGATTTGAGATAAATTGTGTTCTGAATGTTAGAGCTTTCTACTTGCCTGGATACTTCTCGAGGTTTTATGCTGCCAAACTCACAGATTCACAGAATGGGTTATCTCCAGTGAGGGAGACTCCACGCCCTTTCTGGTGTCTGTTCCAGTGTGTGGTCACTGCACAGGAAAGTTCTTCCTCATGTTCAGGTGGAATTTCCTGGGATAGTTTCTATCCATTGCCTCTTGTCCTGTTGCTGGGCACCACAGAGCAGAGCCTGAAACCTCCCTGTGAAACCTCCCTGTAGATACTGATGGACTTATGAGATCCCTTTTCAGCCATCTCTTCATGAGGCTGAACAGCCCAGTTCCCTCAGCCTGTCCTCATTAGAGAGATGTTCCAGTCCCTTTATTGCCTAGGAACTCTCTCTCTTGTCSTGAGGAGCCCAGAACTGGACACAGCACTCCAGATGGAGTAACAGCTCAGTCTGTGGTGGCTCTGCAGTAGGATTGGTGACTGACCAGTTCTAGTTTGTCTGGTGACCACTTCAACTCATAAGCCCCAGCCAATATATTTTCTTTTTCTGTCCATTTTGACAGAAAAAGGTATCACTCATGAGATGCCTTCCTTGAAGATGGTCTGCAAAGGAAGAAAAAAAGATTTATGAGATTTTGTTGTGACTGCATCTCTGTGATAGAAAAAAAAAGGATTTGGGGGAAAATATTCACTGTTTGGTCTGGTTTTTAGTAGTGCAAATGCAAAGTGTCTTTCTGTAGAGTAGAAACCCTTTGATTCTTCAGGCGAGAGATGACAGGTTTACAGAATTAGGAGAGGATTTTATTAATGGCAGTGCTGTAAACACAGAGTCCTCCAAGAGGCTCGTTTAGTGTCAGTGTTAGTGTCAGGAGCTGTCAGACCTTGTTGGAGAAACTTTCCAGCCTGTGCCATGGATGCTGTTAATGGGTSCTGCCACAGTTCCCCACCTGCCCTCAGTTCATACAGTGAGATAGGGAGCGTGCAGCATGGCCAGGGAGTTTCTGTGTCTGTGGTGGTCGCCCTGCCTGAGCCAGCAGCTTGCTCATCTCTGGCTCCACAGAGACTTGGGGCCATGTAGGAGCAGCTGTGAGTCCATTCTGCTCCCTGACACCAACTCCTCACACATTATCCACATCATGTTGTAAAAAGGAGGAGGCAGACCTTGGCCAAAGGGGCCTGGCAGGAGGAGGATGCCCCCGGGACAGAACCCTGTAGACGACCACTAATTAAAGGCTCCATTTGATACAAATCCAGCTGCTCTGCCACATCCTTCTGCAATTYTTCATATTCATCAATTTATATGGAGGAGTACTCTGAAGCTAGCAGGAGTCATGCAACTTCTTGTTATCAGGAGAGACAGATGTAAGAGCTCTTCAAAATTAATTAGCTTTTAGCACTTCCTTTCCCACTGGTCCAGCAGGCTCGTGGGGCTGCACTGATGGTTATACCTGTGATAAGTTGTGATCATTTATGCCAGAGTTCTTCACCCTCCTAATTTTTATTTCACTAGCCACAGTTTCTTTCTTTCACWGGCAGAATAATTTCTTATTGGCCTATGTTCCTTATCCTATGCTCCTTTTTCCTTTAGGTTTTTTATCCCTCCTGTGCCCACCATGGGCTGTTTCTRGGACTTTAATTACCACCAGTATGTGCACTACCTTCTGCTAATAACTAACCCAATCCTAATGGTTCATTTTAAGCAAGTTTCAAACTTCATAAGAGTAAACCTTTTTTTCTGTGCCTCTCAAACTGGATGCATACAGAATCCCAGATTGGGATTCTGGATGTACAGCCTTGTCCTTTGGCTTACACAGGCTCTGTCTATTTTCAGCACTTGCTCTTCATTACATGCTTTAAAACTCCAGCACCAGATTTTACTCGGTTTTTACATGGCACTGCTGAACCTATCTGCCTCCTGAGTTTCAAAGGAATTTTTGCAGAATTGCTCAAGGCAGCAAAAATGAAGAACAACCAGATGAAGTTAAAGAAGGGACTCCTGCTGCTTGACAAGACTTACATGTCTCAGTGCTTTGAATTTAGGCCTCCTCTGAGGAAAATGGCAATAAAAGCCTCGTTTGCTGATGAGCGAGGTTCTTCCCTCTGTGTGCTGTTTACACACAGCAGTCACRCTCAATAATGAAGAAATCTGACTTCTGCTCCAAGGCAGCACGTGAACAGGGTGCAATCCAAGGCACAACCTCYATCAGCCTCTCCATCAGAGGCAAATGTGTCTGGACAGTTGGGATGCAAAAATTGAGGAGCATTAATAAACCGGGAGAGCAAGGCAATGCTCTTCAGTGCTGGCTGGTGGAGAAGGCAGGTGCAGAGCATTTGCAGTGCTCTGATGCACCAGCTCCCTTCCAAACTCTGGTGCTGGATTGATCCCAGCAACACAGGGTTTGGAAGTGGTTGTATTCAAAGCCTTAGCACAGACCTCAGTGATGGTCTGCCTGTCTCAGCTCCTGAGCTGGGGTGATTTTTTGGAGCAGCCAGCTCACCAAGCGGTTTGTAAAAYTGTGATTTTACAAGCACACTTACCTAAAAGGCCAGCTTTCAACAGGATGTCTTTCCAAGCCCTGTTAAATATTATTGTAATGGGTTGAATTTATGTAACAARTGTGTTATCAGTCCCTGTTGTTGGAGTAGTTTGCTTTTTGAGTGGCTTAAAAAACATTGGTCTTAAATGCCTGCACTCTGCTGATTATTTTTCAGCCTTCCTGTGTCATAGGAATTCCTCTGCTCTTGTAGGCAAAACAGCTCTGGTCCTCTCTGCTGAAACCTGTTTTTATAATCAGCAGGGCAGCTGTGTTGTTTTAGCTGGTTTGTGTGGAGGCAAGGTCTGGGGAGGACACGGTGAGAGGCTCCAGCTCACTGGCCTGGCAATGCWGTGGCTGCAGGTGGGGCTGAGTGGCTCATCCCTGGTGTTTGTGGAGGGTCAGTGGTAAATCAGAGATCTGGGGCTCTGCCTCCCCCGTGGGTTGCTGCCCCAGGCTTGCAGCAAGATTTCCACCACAATCCTAAACTGTGGCTGCTGTCTCAGATAACCCTTCTTGGGGATAGCATCTTCCCAAATGGAGGAGGTGGATGGGAGRGGTTGTCACAACAGAGATGCTTGAGGCAAGTTAAGGCAACTGAGGGTAGGAAGGCAGCAGGCAGCAGCTGAAACCATTAAATCAGCATGTGATGTTCCAATTCAAATGCAGAAACACATCCATATYTATCTTGATTTCTGCAAGAGCTCACATGGGTAAACAAGAGGTCATGTCTCCTCTTTAGCCCAGTGTTGTGCTCCAGCTGAACAATACTCCTTCCTCTGGGTCTTATCATGTGTCCTGGCTTATCTTACTTGGGAGATGTCTTTGCCTTTCCCCAGGCACTTGGGAAGCCCTCAGTGCCCCTGGGCTTGTCCAGAGGGATGCTCCTTCTTCCCCAGTTCCAGTCAAACCTGCTCCAGARTAGGGATGGCCAATCCCCAGAGCAAAGAGGTTTAGGACAATGATTATTCCTTCAAAAAGTCTTGCAGATTAAACACTATTCCTTGGATGATTGCCTTTAACTAAAATAACTGGTGATTTTCCTATCATGCTGCTTCTGACAGAGGTGCTTTGATAAGAATGATTGGTAGCAAATACCAGTTTGGCTGTGTATTTGTTTCCTGTCTTTCCTGAGGCTAGCGATCCAGAATTACCCTGAGTTTTCTTAAATTTAAACAAATTAAGCAGCATTTTAATTTAAAAGATGCCAAATTATGCTTTCCAATGCATTAGGCATAATAGTTGGGTTTGAAGCCTGTCTACAGAGGAGCAAAGACAGCTCTTGTTAGAAGAGTCCAACTGCAGAGCCACAGCCAAACCACTGCTCACCAGAGGCTGTTGCAGGTCACTTTGGAGAGGGGAGGAAGCCTCCACGTTTCCCTAACAGTAAACCTATTGCATTATCATTAAATAAACAATGCAAATACTCGTCTTCCCTCATTGCATTTCAGCGCTGAGCTTTCTGGTGCTAAAGAAAATCACGTGGTGAAACAAGGAAAAACAGTTTGGGAAAGTTTTATTTTAAAAGTAGATGTGCTGTAAAAAAAGTTTAATTTTATATATATATATTATTTCTCTATCTATTGAAAATATCTCAAAGCAAGCTACCTGACAAAAGGAAAACAAAAGTACAGTATTGGTTTTCCTTGCTTTCCCCCATCTATTGAATAAGGTTTTGTTGGGATAAAATTAAAGTGCTTATCTTTGAATTTGCTTCCTCTGGTTGAGTTGGCACAGTACATTGAACGAAGGAATGTTCCAAGTTCAGAGGTGGCATTGGGGAATCTAGTTAAAATGACATCAAAGGCAGCACAGCGGGGCTGAACATGTGTTTGAAGCCGGATAGATTAGAGGCCATTATCAGCCTTTCGCTACTGTGCTGGGAACAAAAGTTGCTCTTTCCGCTGGGACTGCTGCTGGGGAGAATTAAAAAAAAAAAAAAAAAAAAAAANAAAAGTTGCTCTTTCCGCTGGGACTGCTGCTGGGGAGAAAAAAAAAAAAAAAAAAAAAAAAAAAAAAAGAGAGAGAAAGAAAGAAAGAAAGAAAGAAAGAAAAATTGCACTTTCTAACATAATGCCGCTTTCCCCGCAAATGGCCGTGTGGCTTTAGCGTGCGAGTTGTGTTCTGGTGCCCGGGTTTTGTGCACTGGTTAAGCTGAAATGTTGTCTATTGATGCCGACCAGCGATGGCTAAAATAATCCCCAGGGTTTTTTATTTTTCCCTCTGAAAACTTCCAGTTGTTTCGTTGCCATCCAGTCTAGAAAAGGCCGCGTAGCAATGCGGTGAAACTCTTTAACCGTTGTGACTCCGAAGTTCAAATTRAGGCTCGTCATTAAAGAAAATTAAGCTGCCTAATGAACACTCTTGTGATCCCTGTACTGCAGAATGTGGGGAAGTTGTTCTGCTCCCAAGCCATGTCACTGCAGGCACAGCAAGAGATGATGCTCCCAGCGCACTCTTCCTTCTCCTGCATTACCTGCAGCCAGTAGCCAGAGCTGTAATTAGGCTGGCTCATTTTCTGTTCCCTCGTTTGTCTTCCTGCTAAAAAGCACTTGTCATTAATCATGGGGTTTGTTTTATTTTATTTTAATGGTGTTTCATTTTGAATGCCTGGGTTGCTGCATGAAATTAGGTTCTTCTGATGTCGTTTACTGGCGATTTTGCCTGCACCCTCATTTCCAAGGAGCCAGCAGGGCAGCCAGCATGATGGGAACGGGATGAAAGCTGATGGTAGCTGTCGTCACAGGCTGGTGCCTGAAACTCGGGGGGTTTGCAGGCAAAACACCACAGTAAATTGTGTTTCTCTTGCCAAATGGCATCTTGACTTCAAAAATCTGTGGGTGAAACTGTTTGGTTTATGTTCTGGAGAAGCAGCTGGGGAGGGGTAGGTGCTAAGGACATTTGGCTTGTGCAAACATCTTGTCGTAGTGAGATGTGTCAGGACTGACTCGTTTTCACAGCTCAGAGGGGTGCAGGGTTGGCAGGAGATGTGCCTGGAAGTTACATGGTAGATGGGACAAACCAAATCCCTCCATTCATTTCCACCCACCTCTGTGGCACTGCATGACCCTCCCTAGCAGTTCTCTCTGCTGAATAAGGGAAATGTGCAAAATGAAAAAGCTCCAAATTGCCAAGCTCCAAGCTGGCATTTCTTTTTGCATTCATTGATTTTCCCCAAATAACACCAGGTCACCAGGAGGTGGGTCTGTGTCCTTTCATAACTGGGCTCCACTCACTGTCCTTCCCCGGGTCCCTGGGTGTCAGCAGGGTGGTGGCAATGKTCAGAACAAAAATGCATTTCCTTTCTTTGCCTGGAGTCACACTTAGCCARGGATGCTTTGCCAGCTGGGGTGCTTTGCAAAGCCTGGTGCCTCTGATCCATGGCCCCTGTGCACCCAGGCTCACGGCAGAGCCACAGACCTGGTTCCCAGTGTGGCAGTGCCAGGGATCATGGCCACCTTCCTCTGCAGAGACCTCTGTCACCACCTCTTCCAGCACAGGCACAAAGCCAAGCAGAGCTGRTTCACTTGGATGTCACTGCCCATGACATCCCGTCCTAAGCTCAGCAGCCTCCTCTGGGGAGGGGGCTGGTTCTTTCCTACAATAACTCCAGTATCAAGGCCACAATTTCAGAGTGAGCTACAGATTGCCTTGGGAGCACTGGAGCCTGTAGCCCCTTGCTTTGATAAGCCATTTGAGAAGCTGTCACGCTCTCTTAAAAATATATACCTTGTTCCCTGACCGAGTTCACCTTGTAGTAGATGCTCAATGAGCTCCCATTCCTCCTTCTCCCCCCTCCCTTAGCCTGCCCTATGGTTTARTGTGTACATTACAGGCTCTTTACAGAAAGCAACCAACTATAAAAGGTACCAGGATGCAGTCCAAGTCCTTCTCCCTGCCCTCTGCCTTGGGGAGTGGTCGCAGGAGCCCTGCCTTGCTCCTGGTGGATGCTGTGTAAGTTCTCCTGGCCCCCCGTGCCAGAGCTTTATTGGTTTGGGGACCTGGCTGCGCATCGTTCCCCTCACAGATTCTTCTTGCTCTGGGCATGCAAAGTCTTCCTTAAACATGAAGAGGTTTCCTACCTGTGACTCTGTGTCAGCAAGGCTTGAATGAACACAACGTGTCAGAGAAAGGCACTAAAGCAGGGCATGTTGTTTTTTTATTTTGGCAGAGATGGGATCCCACCGTACAGACTTCGAAAGCAGCATCGCAGAGAGATGCAAGAAAGTGCCAAAGCAAATGGACGCGTGCCACTACCTCACATTCCTGTAAGTAGCACTATCTCCTTCCCAGGGCTAAATATGCAAAATATGTGAGATCTCTAGCAGACAGTTGCTCTGCTTGTGCTCGAGTTTAATCCTCCTTAGTGCTGTATTTGCTTGGGGAAGCTTTAAGATGACATACATTGTGCTTAGAAAGGGCTTGGAGCCTTCTGCCAAACTCACCATCCAGGGCTGCCCAAAATGCAGAAATTTTTCTTAACTGTTCAGTCAGATTGTTTCTCCTGGATGAGAATGGAAGAAGCACTGGCWGGCATTTATCTGGAAGCAGTTCCATGCCCTGGGGTGAGCTGGAGGTGTTTGTGGAAGGTGTAGGAAGTTTTTTGGACATGGAGGCTGATGTAGCTCKCAGCCAAGGTCAGCTGGGGAGAAGTTCAATGGTCCCCATCAGTATTTCTGTGCTGGGCAGCCCAGGGAGCTGTGAGCTGTTCTCAAAGACTCGGCAAAGCTCACCTGGGGAGATGAGGCAGGAGAAAAAATAAAGGTGCAGGTGTAAGTATTYCATTTATCTGGCACTGTTTCCTTGGTTGCTCCAGGTAAGCCAACAGCTTTTGGAAGATGAGCACAGCTGCTAAGGCTCTGCATCACCATCTGCAGCTCTGCTTATTATTGTTTTCTTTTTGTGAGAAGTTACAGGTGACATTTAATATCTRGTAGGGAATAAAGATGCTTCTTTCCCCTTTGGACAGCTGGACTCCAGCACAAATCAAATAGGGAGAAAAAAAGTCTCCATCTGCTTTYTCCAGAAGTGCCTTCAAACTTGACGCAGCTGTTCCCATCCTGCCTGCTCAAAGCTGCACAATACCAGCAGAAATACACCCTTGTTTTAATCTGATTTAAAAGAAAAAAACGCACACCAAAACCACCACTCTTTGTTTTGCCTTTTAAATTAGATTATTTTCCTTAGATTTAAGAGGGTCTCCTGTGCTTTGATCACTGGGTTGACAATAAAAGCCCTGGCTGCGGACGCTCATAGCCATCCTTGCTCAGTCACCTCTCTTTTCACACAGTTGCTTTCACAGTGTGGTTGCTGTTGAAAAGGCTGGCTGGGTGCCTTTTTATTTCACTTGATGCCGTTTTTACTGTAAGCATGGCTTTGTTAGAGTTGAAGTTTGAAAGCTTGGCCTTTATTTTTTGTTGTTATTGTTGTTGCTGTTCCCCAACAGTGGGAACTACTGAGTGAATATTCTGCAACTTCAAAGCTTGTCAGTGGCTTTACCTTTTGGATAAAAATAATAGTGGCTTTCTGTTGATGGTGTGCACTGGCAATGCCTCGATGAACTGCAGGTTATAAACTCAGAGTATGGAGCATTAAATATGTATAGTGAGCTCTACTTTAACRAACTTCCATCTGCCAAACATTTCTTTTGTTGAACTGAATAAGTGTCATTCCAGCAGCAGTTCCTTGCAGGCTAATTAGTTTTACTTAGCATTAAATTTTATCGACCTTTTTGGAAACCAGCTTTAAAAATGGGGGTAAAAAMCAAGGTTTAAATCACCCACCTGCTGCTTATAAATTTTTATATTATCCTACTTACCTACACAGTCTTTTAGAATTACATATTCCTCCTAAACTACACACAGACGCTTCACAAGGATTTTTTTGTGAAACATCCACTGTTCCCATTAGGTTCTGTGCTGTAATTTTAAGTCCCAGGGAAAAAGGCATCTTGACACATATTTATATGGGAGCGGAGGGCTGAGAAGTYGAGTTAGTTCTAGTCTTTCTGCAGGGAATAAAAGTTTAGTTCAGACACTCTGGCACCTCCTGCCAGCCAATTACTGACACAGAATTGGCATCGACTTCAGAGAGGCACTGCTCTGCCCTCGCTTATCAATCAGCCAAGAAAGGAGAAGGTAATTAGACAATGTGTTTTGACAACACCAGTGTGAAATGTTATAAAGTTACTCTTTAAAATTCACCTCTAACTGCACACTCTTTGAATTAAGCAGCCCCAATTAGCAAGGAGCCATGCAAATGTTTCTTCAAGCATTGCTTTCTGAAGCTGGTGGTTGGGCTATCCTGCAGCCCGTGGCTAAAGCAGRCTGGACCTGGGGTTAGCTGCTTCCAAACGTGTGGCAGTGATGAAATCACAACCTTTGAGTGAAGGTCTTTATGGACTCCTATCTCCAGCATAGCCAGAGTCCATGCTGATAGTGCCTGCAGAATGCACAGCATGTTTTCCTACTGATAATAGGGAACCTCCTACTTCCGAAAGTAATTTCAGAAGTCCTTTACAGACCTTCCCGTTCCCTGACAAATGAGTTACGGGGCTATTATGMAGAATTCTGAAAGGACTTATATTGCTTTTAATAGCAGCACTTGTAGTTAGGTCCAGAAGCTATAAACTGCAGTGATTATATGTTCAGAGGAGCCGTGCTGCCTGCAAGGAGTGACGGCGTGTGCTGGCTGTGTTGGACACCCTGCTCTGCAGCAGGGCCTGTGGATGGCTCTGATCTGCATCTTCCACACTTAGCAGCTCACATCTTCCACACTTACCCAGTCACCAGTGCTCTAAGTTTGGAAAAGTTGTGCTCTGTGAAGTGGCGCTCTGCCCAGGAATGCAGTGGGTGAGGATCTCCAGCGAGCAGTGAGACCTCTGTTTTGTGCCTCTGGCAGGAACACATTACACAGAGAGTGAGTGTTGCTTTCATGTGGTTTTCCATCACTSTGTTGAATTTGAGCAGAGTCTTGGGAGCACCAAGGAAGGAAAGAGTAAGCAAGTTCCCAAAGGAAGAKAGAAAGCCCAGAGCATGCATAGCTGTACCTGGCTCTGACATTCATCCATTCCATTCCCAGGAGAGGGAATTCATCCATTCCTTTTTCACAGCAAATYCAGAAAAATCCCACCTCAACCATTTAAACCTGGTGTTGGCTTGGTTTGTTTAACTGCATAAAGAAGCCATTTTGTGATGTTCCTGCTGTAGCTGGATCATCAAGCAGGAGCTCTCCTGACCTGCCCCACAATCCAGGATGCTGCAAGGTGGCTTCCATGGTGCTGCTGGGTGGARCAGAAGGTTCCACTGTGAGTGACCACTGTGCTGTGCTGTGCCAGTGAGGAGTGCCCAGGAGGAGCCTTGCTTGGATAGCTGCAGCTAAATGAGCTTTCTGCTCCTGCCAGTCGGGAACCTGCTCGGAATTCCCATCGGCTTTTTTTATGCCATTTTCCTCAAACGCTTTGCAGCAGCRGGACTCCCTGCTAATCCCTGAATGMYGCTGAAATCCAGCTATCTGTGAGCTCTGCCACAAGTGTTTCTGGTGTGGAAACACCATTTATCCGTTAAAAATTTATGTCACAGAGGAATGCATTAATCTAAGAAACATGGAAGTTCAGAAGTTCTTTTCTCTTGGCTTCTCTAGCCTGTCATCTTCCTTTCATTTCCARGACTGACTTGTGATCTAACAACAGCCCCTCAGGCATCATGGAGGTATCAAACCTCTTGTAGGAGAGGGAGATTTACCAGCACAGAATTCTTTGGCCCAGTCACATCTGTCAGAAACAGTTCAGCCCAAACCACAGATCCCTGGAGCTGGTTAGGGAACCTCTACCCAGTGTCATGTTGAAAAACTTCCTGTTTCATCATAGAGCTGTTGAGGCTGATGCTTCCCAAGGGGAACCTGCAAACTGCAGTCAGATTCTTCCTTTTCAGCCTTTTCACATTTTGGATGCTGGTGCGTTCTGATGTGCAGAGCACAGTCCTTAAACCTCTGTATCTCAGGGAAGGTGAAATCCATCAAAACCCAAGAGCTGCATCTGCCTCAYGGAGCAAAATCCATAGAATTCGCACTCCATCAGCTCCAAGAAAAGAAGAGGAAAACGTGAGAGCTGTTGCCTGGTGGAACTGCTGGAGAGCTTGTGTTTCTCACATTCTTAGCAGGCTGCTTCTTCACAAAGGTACCAGAGCTTCAGACACTTCACRTGTCAAGGACAATGTTCTGGTGATAGGTAATCTAGGAAATCCTTCTTCAGAGCTGTCACACAGGTAAATTGCTCCATCTAGACTGTTCAAGCAATTTCTGTTTTTTCCCAATCCACCTGGCATTCAGCCTCCCATCTATTATCCTCTGCAGCATCCCCTGCTCAGTGTGGTTTGATTCTGGACAGACCTCTCTAACTAGTGACATTAAATARAAGTCAGGTAATTAAATAAAACATCAGATAAAATAGCTGTAGATAAACAGTTCTTTAAAATGAAGCACTTCTTTTCTGAATTATGTATGTAAAATGTCCAGATATCTCATTCTGGTCCAGACTGAGGGGSTGGATCCTCAAAAACCAGCCAGCTCTCAGAGAGTGCTGCACCCTTTACTTGGAACAAAAGCATTTGGARCCTTTCTGATGCCAGAACAATAAGCAGCTTATTTACAACTCCCTTGGCAGGACTCTGTATGCCCATGGGAAGCTGGGGGCAAGTTCAAAATCCTGAAGCCCTGAAGGATCCTGCTCTGGGCACAGGCTCAGCCTGGCTGGTCTTTGATGGAGCATATCTGCCATGTCTCCCTTCTGAAGTCAGGTCCATCATTTGATAACGGCTTCAAACACTTTGTTGTCTTAAGCCTTTTGAACCAGGTCAGTGCAATCCATGTTTGCTGTCCAGGGAGACAGAGAGAGCCCTCAGCAGTTATCTGTATTGTTTCAGCACAGGGAATTTGCATTCATTATTCTGCAATACTGTTAGTTTTGGGGAAGTCTGTGTGGCTGATCCTTCGAGTAGGAATAAATTCAGAGYCATGGTGATGTTCAAAGCATCATCCTGCTCACCAGCTCTCTAAGTTAGCCATACAGGTACCCACCAGGATACCTGCACAGGCCATATGCAACTGGTATCCGTGGGGTGAAGTGAGGTTTATTTCAGGTTTATTTCSCTGATCTCAGATGCTCAGGGAGACCCTTGCAGAGGGGGCTTTATCTTGCATCCTCAGTTGGGCTGCTGATGCCTTCTGCAAGCTGTTGTGCCGAGTGGGAGGCTCAAGGACAGGGCAGTGGGTTTTGCAGGTRCAGCAGTTTTTCAAAGAGAGAGGAAATGGAGTTCATCCTAAAGATTCTTGGGTTCAATTATTGTAATTTCTGTAGCTGAGCTTCGGTCACCTCCAGACTTTAGAGACTGTGGATAAACATGCTGAGGTATTAGTTGTAAAAAACCCAGAATTGTCTGGAGTTCCCTGGATGCAGCTTCAGATCYTCAGCAGAGTCACAGCTGTGGTCCCTCAGCATTGCTGGGCCTGCAGGGAGCCACCTCCTTGTGACAGGATTTGGACATTTGAGTTACAAACTTCAGCCCTCACAGCTACTGCTGCCGCAGGCTCGGGACGGACTTTGGTTTGGGAATGCTGCCTCGCATCAAAGGCTAGGAAAACAAAGGGTAATTCTTGCCCAGTTGTGCTTTTCTGTGGTAGCTGCAYCGGGGACACCCCAGACCGTAAGTGCTGAGCTCCGAGCTGCCTCTCATTAGGCTCATTAAGTGTCTAACGGAGCAGGGCTTGGTGCTGCTGTCTATAAACAACCGCAGGGAGAGTTGGCATCCTGAGGTGGCAGCAGGGAGGGARCACCTCACCGGCGGGTTGGGACCTGTCAGGCAAGGGAGAGAATTCCCTGCTTGGGAATCGCTGGCACGGCCTCACGGGGWGGATGGTGGTGGTCACGGGGTTGGGGTTTCTGAGGGAAGCAGGATCCCTTAGCCAGAAGTGCTSCCCTGGGCTGTGCGGGGGAGCAGGGAGACATCCTGAGAATCCTCAGGGAGGAACAGAGCAGGAACCAGCTCTGCCACATCATCCCCTGTGCTGGAGCACRTCTGGGGCCCATTTCTGGACAGCACAAACATGAAACATTCTGCTTTGGCTCCTGTGCAATRTTTCAAGACTGAACATCATTTTTGTTGATGCAAACTTTTTTTCTGTAGTTCTGCTTTTTGTGATACAGGCATTGGTTTGTAGGGCTGGAGGTTCTGGTGGACTGAAGACTCTGTCACCCCAGGGTGGTGACATCACTTCCCACATGTTGTGTGCCCTCTCCAGTAAGGATGAAGGGAATGGTTGGTTGGGGCTGTTCCCAGCTCGGATGGGTCTCTGGGATTGAGATTTGCTARCTGGCTCAGGAAGACCCATCCCTCTTGGTAAACAAAGCAAGCACTACTTTAACCGGGGCCTTTGCAACCCACCTGGGGTGTCATGAAAGAGTTTTCAGCTCCTCGCTGCCATCAGTGGGTTCTTGTTGCCTCTGGTTCCCTTCCCTGCCTTCCAGCTGGCAGAGACAGAAAAGCCAATGCGATTTGCATACTTTTGTCAGGTTTTGAGGCAAAGCAGTATTTTAGTGTTCTGCTTTGATCTTCTGGCTGGCCTGGGATAAATTCGGGTGGTCTCTCATCCTCCTTTAAAGTTTTCAAGCTCGATGTCTGCTTCTGATGCTGCATTTGTTCTTTTGCTATGAATTATCTCATGTTTTCACATTTAATTTTATCTCTGGTCCTATAGAGTATATATTTCTCTCATGTTGTTTTTGAAATACTTGAATGCAGAGTTTTATGCTGTTGAATTTTCCAACTATTTTTCCTCCAAATTAAATTTTTATCTCTGCTGTGTCAYTTTACTTTTTCCACTTCTTGAAAAAATAATGCAGGAAGGATAGAAATGAGGGGGAAAAACTTCACAATACAAATTTCATATCCCAGAATTCAGGAATTCAGCAATGAAATAACTCAGCGCAAGGAATTGAGAATGTCCTTGAACTACCATAAATATTAATTTATTCACCCAGGGGCGAGCAGAAAAATGGCACCTCTGTGCTTGTAGGGGTGGTGTATTGATAAAGCAAGCAGGGAATCATTGCATGGCTCTGAAGAGCTGAGATKCAATGCTGTAGGATCCTCCATCAGGAGAGGCTGCTTTGTGGGAATTGGGACCKTTGTGGCTGTGGGCTCGATTTGCAGAGATTCAGTACCTTGCACTGATCCTCCTGGGATAAGCTGAATAAATGTGCACCAGAGCCCTCCCATCTATCAAAGTGAAAGCATAACTGCTATGAACAGGGCGTTGGAAGGTCTGTACATCCTTTTGCCACCCTTTCAGACCAGGATATTCCTGTTGGCCATGTGTCCATTGGGAGAAAAGCAAGCAYTCCCATCCCTAAGTGGAATTCGGTGCCAAAAAGAGCTTTTTGAGTCACAACTCCAGAAAACCTTTCCCTTGCGTGGGGTGGTGTGAGGAGCTGGTGCCAGCCAGGGAACTCATGGAGGTGGTGGCTCAGCTTCCAGCCCCCAGGTCCTGGSCTGCACCTGGGTCCCTGCCAGCCTGTCCTCCCCCAGCTCCCAGYGGCGTGACCGGCATTTCCAGTTATCAAAGGCTCCCGCAGAAACGTGGGATTTTCCATGCATCCTTTACTAACACTGCTCTGTTCTCCCCACAGCGTACCTACCGAATGCCAAAGGATATCCATGTGGAGCCAGAGAAGTTTGCTGCAGAGCTGATCAACCGTTTGGAGGAAGTGCAGAAGGAACGCGAAGCAGAGGAGAAGTTAGAGGAGCGCCTTAAACGCGTTCGAGCGGTCAGTGACCTTCTTTCCTCCTCTGCCACCCTGGGACTGCGTCCTCTGTACCACAGGGAGCTTTCAGCTGCTCTGGAAGCAACTGGGGTGGCCAGTTCCCTGCTCCATTGCCATGGGCATCACTGGAACAGGTTCCTGGAGGCTCCTGGAGCCCCCAGGGCTTCCCTGATGCCATTCCCCCATCCTCTGTGAACCCCAGTACTCCCTCGCTGTGTAAGATACAGCCATGGCCCAGCAGTGCCCACTTCTGCCATCACTCAGGAGCTGTGGGTGCTCTCCATCACYTTCTTTGGCACCCTGGCTCTCCTGGCTTTATGAGCAATCCCTGGGGAGTGTTTAAGAGGGGCTCACCTTCCCAAGGGAGGTTTTGTGTGTTCCCTATTTCCCCCACAAATGGTAACCAGGTGGCAGGTGATGTTGTGCTTGGGGGTGTTTGTGTCTGCTGTCAGGCCATCTCTACCACAACCAAAAGGGTTCTGCCTGTCGCTGCCTAGCACACCCCTAGAGATTTTGGAAGTGGTCACATTTGGCAWTGAAAAACCCTCTCCTGGCCAGAGAAACACACTTGACTGGATACCCAGCCAGTGGCATTGGGTGCTGTGAGCCCTGGTTCCACTGGGGCCCCTCAAAGCCTGAGRACTTGTTAAATGAGCCTTGGGAAGTGTGCAAGCCTTCAGCTTGACAACAAGCTCCAAGAGGGAGAGAGTGAGGTCCAGGTCATCTGGTGTGACCTGYCCTGTGTGAGACCCCTGTCCAGCAGTATTCACACCACAGCTTTTCTTCTGAGGCTCTCCATCCCATGGGTACCTGCACATCCTGTGCTGGGGATACAGGAGAGATTCCAGAGGACTCCATGGTGTTACTAAACATTGCTAGCAGAGTGTAACAATAGCCCTCTGTGCCAAAATTTTGGGTCTCTGCAGTTATTAGCTGCCATGGCCCTGAGGTAGAGGCTCTGGGCTCTGTAACCTGCAGCCCTCCCTTAACACAGAGGTGTTGGTGCCTGCTCAGCCAGCTCTGTGCTTTCAGGGAAGTTCAGCCTCTGGGGCTCCAGGAAAGTACCTCCAGCCCCATTGGTGTATTTTAAAATGCTCATCTGGTAGCTCTTTAAACAGAAAAGAGCTGTAGGTTGTAGTGTTGGCTTTAAATCCCATCTGCATTTCAAATGCACGGAACTGAGGAAGGCAGAAAGATCTGTAAAGTCCCCTCCAGCTCCAGGTGTTTTCCAGCAAACTCCCTACACCTCTGCACCAACCAGAAAAAGCCAGCAAGGTGCTATTTTGGGATTAGATTCCTGTTCTTCTGGAATTGCACTGTTGTGCTGTCTGGTGACTTGCTTCCTAGACAAAGGCAGTGTAACCAGCAGCAGCATTTTCTGCTAACACAGTCCTAGAACACGCTCCTTCCTCCTCCTCCTCCTCCTCCTCCTCCTCCCATGGCTCCATTGCAGCCCCCACGTGTACCAAATTACATTATCCCAGCCCTCTGCCTCCTTGAAGAAGCTGCCAGTAGCAATACCATAAAATCAGCAAATACCTATGTGCCAGAGAATATATTTAAGTCTGTTTAAACATATTTTTGTGTGACTTAATCTATTTTTAAGCCCAGGACTCCCACTAATGCTATATATTAAACCTCTTTGCTGTCTCCAGAATGTATTTCATTGACAGGCTGGCATCTGGCATTAGCCATTCAGGAAAAACTCGGAGTAAGCAATTGTAGCTTTTTTAGGTCAGCACTTAAGGTGCAGGAGCTGCTGGTATCAGCAAGAGGGAGAGCTGGAATCCTGGATAGAGCTGGATAGATCACAGGGCTTTTTTTCTGTGACCTGAACCACCAGGACTGCAGGGTAACCTCTTCCTAGGTCTGCATGGCTCACTGCACAGCAGCACAGGGAAAACCAGGAACCTTAGTCACACTGGGCAGTTATCAGCTTAGCAGAGAAGCTGGAAATATTTTGCAAAAGCTCAGGGAAAAGAATTTTCTCCCCCATACCGAGCAGCCTGCAGGTTTCCTTTCAAAGCCGCATCATACAGTAGCATCAGGAGAAGGTATCTGATTTGAAGCCTAATGTCTTTTACTGAAGACTGTCAGGTTTCTGCTTTACAAAAAAGCAAATGCTGCATTCATTAATTGTTCTGAGCAATGTGGCTGAGGATTAGAGGATGTCCATGTTCCCATGTTASTTTTTGAGACACTTCAGCCTCATGTCCACACATGGAATTTGCAGTCTCACATCACAGAGATCAGCATTGGATCATACAGATCACTCTGAACTGAGCAAATGGAAAATAAGTGAGGGAGAAGCAGAGCCACCGCTGAGATTTTCACTATTTGAATATAAAACATTGCCTGACTAGAGAGGGAAATCATTTGCATGATGATCGAAGAGGCACTCGTGCTTAGCAGAGCTGTTCTCCCTTCCCAGGCAGCTGCAGCCTGATGGGTGGGACTGGGAGAAGGCAGAGGAGGRGGAGGTTTGCAGCGAGGTGTCTCCTGCCCGTGGCTCATCAGTGCAGCTCTCAGCTCCTAATTCAAAGGGAAGGGCACCCCCAGCCTTGCTGGAGAGTAAAAATAGCTCAGCAGACAGTCAGCAAAGTTGGAGCTGCATCTCTGGCTGCTGCTGCCTGTGGGAGCTGGTGGAAGAGCGTTCTGACAATAATGTGTCAACAAAGCACCATCTAGTGGTGATGGCACCGGGGCTCCCTGCCCGCCAGAGTGGCAACTGCCTGCCCAGATCACTGCCAGGCTGTGCCAGCATCACTGCCCAGCTGTGCCAGCATCACTGCCAGGCTGTGCCAGCATCACTGCCCGGCTGTGCCAGCATCACTGCCCGGCTGTGCCAACATCACTGCCAGGCTGTGCCAGCATCACTGCCCAACTGGGCCAGCATCACTGCCAGGCTGTGCCAGCATCACTGCCAGGCTGTGTCAGCATCACTGCCCGGCTGTGCCAACATCACTGCCAGGATGTGCCAGCATCACTGCCAGGCTATGCCAGCATCACTGCCAGGCTGTGCCAGCATCACTGCCCAGCTGTGCCAATATCACTGCCAGGCTGTGCCAACATCACTGCCAGGCTATGCCAACATCACTGCCAGGCTGTGCCAGCATCACTGCCAGGCTGTGCCAGCATCACTGCCCGGCTGTGCCAATATCACTGCCTGGCTGTGCCAGTGTAACTGCCTGCCCAGCATCACTGCCAGGTTGTGCCAGCATCACTGCCCAACTGGGCCAACATCACTGCCAGGTTGTGCCAGCATCACTGCCCAACTGGGCCAGCATCACTGCCAGGTTGTGCCAGCATCACTGCCCAACTGGGCCAGCATCACTGCCAGGCTGTGCCAGCATCACTGCCAGGTTGTGCCAGCATCACTGCCCAACTGGGCCAGCATCACTGCCAGGCTGTACCAGCATCACTGCCAGGCTGTGTCAGCATCACTGCCAGGATGTGCCAGCATCAGTGCCCAGCTGTGCCAGCATCATTGCCAGGCAATGCCAACATCACTGCCAGGCTGTGCCAACATCATTGCCAGGCTGTGCCAATATCACTGACCAGCTGTGCCAGCATCACTGCCCAACTGGGCCAGCATCACTGCCAGGCTGTACCAGCATCACTGCCAGGCTGTGCCAGCATCACTGCCCAGCTGTGCCAACATTACTGCCCAGCTGTGCCCAGCTCTCTGCCAAACTTTTCCCAGCTCCTTGCCAGGGCTTGCCCAACTCCCTGCCAAACTTGGCCCAGCACTCTGCCAAGCTTTGCCCAGTTCCAGGTCTTGCCCAGTTCACTGTCACACTATGCCAGGTGATGGGTATCTCTGCCAGGCTTATTTGCAGGCCTTGCCCAGATCTCCACCAAGCTTTGCCCAGCCCATTGCCAGGCCTTGCCCAGATCTCCACCAAGCTTTGCCCAGCTCATTGCCAGGCCTTGCCCAGATTTCCACCAAGCTTTACCCAGCTCATTGCCAGGCCTTACCCAGATCTCCACCAAGCTTTACCCAGCTCATTGGCAGGCTTTGCCCAGCTCCCCACAGCAAGGTGCCAAAACATGGCTCCAGAACCCACACCAGGTGTGTTGTTTTTGTCACTGCAGACTGAGCACAGTGGAAATATTCAGCAGAATTGGTGAATTCTGCAGCCTTGACTCAAACCCTTGCCCTGCTCAAGCAGAGGTGACAGCTCGGGTTAGGAACCCCAATTCCTTCATTCACTGCTGTTGTCTCAGTGTTTGGTGTTCCTACTGCCATGAGGCTCAGGCCAGTGCTGGGKGTGGTAGGGCAGGTCCCCCAGCACCTGCTCCTGCCTTTGGTCCTGCTTGGGGCCTGCATCTGCTCAGTGAAACAAATGAGCTGGGCCAAGGTGAAGTGAGAGAGCTTTTCCTCCCCTTAGCCCAGCCTGATCTCAGTCTTAAAGCAAAAGTCCACATCATTACCTGCAAAATGGAGTTGTAGGCAGCCAGAGGATTTCCCAGATCCCAGGCACCCATTTATTTGAATGGACCACCCTGGGTTGTCACTCTCATGCCCCGCTCCCAGGTGTGCCAGCACTGCTGGAGCCCTGGGCTGGGCAGAAGGGACATGCTGCCATTCCTCARGGATCTGTGCCATGGTCAGATCCTGCCCTGTACTTAATTTGTCTCTAAACCTGAGAGGTACCAGCCCCAAAAGCCTCCCAAATGCTGAGGGTATCAYTGGGTATCACACACTGCTAATAAATGCCCTCCCCAATGACAGGAACACAGCACATCCCTCACCATTCCTTGTCCCTGAGCTCGGTGCCCAGGGCTGGTGGCTGGCGAGCTGTGGCGTGTGGCTGTAGATGAAAGGTGCCTCTGAAGCTCTTCAAAGTATCTGTTAGAAAGTGCTGTGTCCCCTCCAGACGCCAGCATCGTGTCACACCCCCAGCTCACAGCGCCCACGCCTTTGGCCCTCTGAAAGGCTGGCATTGTCCGTGCTTCAGGCCTGCACCCCCAGGTGTGACACTGGGAGGAAGCCTGTTATTTGCTTTCTTGCTGTGTGGTTGGCAGCTGGAACTTTGAAGCTGGTTAGCAAGTGATGGATGATGGCATCTGACAGGCCAAGCTGATGGCAGTCAGTGTTTTCCAGCAGATGCATTTATCTGGCAGGGCAGAGATACCCTGTGCAGCAACTGATTTCTTTACTGTGCCAAAGGAGGAAAAAAGAGCGGGATTAAAGGACTCACTGGAATCCTGCTTATGTAATTAAAACAAATAGGAATCCTGACTTCCAATAAAGAAACTTCATAAATATCTGAGTTTATGTTGGAGCATAAAGTAGYTCGTCAGCATCAAAACTGTGGCTGTCAGCATGGAGGAGTTTAATTCTTCCTGGCAAGGACTTTAGAGTCACTAACAGCATGTCCTAGACCAGTGTGAACAGTAAGAACAAGCAGTCAGTTCCAACCCATTTCTTTATCTGCACGAAGTGTTTCACTCCAGCCTTAGCATGCCCGGGAGAAATCAATGTTAGATTTCCAAAACCGTTCATGCAGCTGTCGACCTTCACTTGCTCCCTCCTGTTACAAGCCTTCTCTTGGCTTTGCCTTGTGAAATAGTCATTTGGGTGAGAAACCCCCCCTGGTCTCACCTGACTCAGAATGATTTGYTGCATATCCTGTAGCTCTGGGCTTTATCAGATGGGCTTTGAAGCAGTGCCTTACCAAAGGCACGTAGGAAGCYGAAGGWACGCTGTGGTAAGTTGTGTTTCTGYGGCTGGTTGTTACAGAACCACCTTCAAGGGACTTGCAGTAAGGCTCTGCCTGCTCCAATTGAGTTGTTAGGCTTGTCAGCTGTGTTTGTAAACCTGGTTGTGATGTGTGGGCTGCCTGTCGGAGCTGCTTGGGAGGTGCGTGGAGAACATTGCTAATGGTGGCACAAAAAGCAGGCACAGAGACCYGAGCTGCTCTGMTCAGTGGCACCCAGAYTGCACAGGCTTGGCTTGAGCATTYGGAATTTSCTGTCAGTCTGGGATAGGTCTCCAGAGGGGTGGTGGATCTCCATTATTTGAAAGGTTTTCAAGGTCTGGCTGGTYTAAACCAGGCCTAACCCCAGCAGTCCTGCTGCAAGCAGAAGGTGGGATGAGGGATCCCTTCCACCACTGCAGGCTCATTCTCTGATTGTCCCCATGTTTCTTGCAGGAAGAAGAAGGTGAGGATGCAGATATCTCTTCTGGTCCCTCGGTGATGAGCCACAAGATGCCTTCCGCCCAAGCCTTCCACCACTTTGCTCCTCGTTATGCTGAGATGGGCTGTGCTGGGATGCAGATGAGAGATGCCCATGAAGAAAACCCCGAAAGCATCCTGGATGAGCACGTGCAGCGTGTGATGAAAACCCCAGGCTGCCAATCCCCAGGGCCYGGCCGTCACTCTCCAAAGCCACGGTCCCCGGAAAGCGGCCACTTAGGAAAGCTGTCAGGGACACTTGGAACAATTCCTCCAGGGCACGGCAAGCACGCAACAAAATCAGGAATGAAACTGGATGCAGCTAACTTATACCACCATAAACATGTCTACCACCACATCCATCACCACAGCATGATGAAACCAAAAGAGCAGATCGAGGCCGAGGCCACGCAGCGAGTGCAGAACAGCTTTGCTTGGAATGTAGATTCACATAACTATGCAACAAAGTCACGAAACTACAGTGAAAACTTGGGCATGGCCCCTGTCCCCATGGACTCTTTAGGCTACAGGTGAGTCAAGGAACACTCAAAGGGATTCCCAAAGCTGTGGTTTGTCTGGGAAGCTCTTCCATTAACAGGCTGTWGCATGTCAGGCAAACAGTGGTTGAACCTTTTCTTGTGAGAGCTTGTGCTGGGACCTGATTTGAGGGCTCTTCCCTGTCAGAAATGGATGTGTCCCAATAACCCTTATAGACTCCTTTTTATCTCTGTGATCTGGTGCTGAAAGACMCCTTCTAATCAGGATTTTTATTGTCCTTGGTTATAAGGTAGGCTTTCTGCTCCTTAACGCAGTGGAGATGCTTAGAAATTGCAGGTGCTGGTCTGCTTCTCCATGCAGCAGGAGCTGGATGTKGGGGCTGTGTCTCAAGGTCTGGGTRRTAGAAAYAGGTCTCTTGGRATGTTTATGGGAGGACAAAAAACCCCATCTTATTTGTTGCAAGGTTGAACCCATTCACCAGAAGGGCTCCTTTCTCTTCCTAACAAGGCAAAGGACACTGCAGTGCTGCCCTGGCAGCCTGTCCCAAGGGGGTGTCCTMCAGGATAGGGCACCCTACCCAAATCCCATCTAGACACAGCACTCCCTTCTAGCAGCAGCTACAGTGTTTATATAATGAGCTTTTAAGAGGACACACTCAGACCTGTCCTTCCTCTGGCACAAACTCCCAGTTCCTGGCAGTCCCTGGATCAGAAGCTTCACAGGACAAGGGTTTGCATCCAAATGGCTCTGTTTGGCAGCCAGCAGTCTCTTGTGGTGGCTTCTCTGACTCCTTGTTGAACTCAGCTGGTCTGCTGTTCCAACAGCCCCCCCATGATGTGTCTGTGGGTCAATGACAACTTGCAGAAAAAGGCTTTTTTTTTTTGTTTCCACTGAACCTGCTGCTGCAGAGTTTTRTTTGATACCCAGTAGTCCTCATGCTGGGGGAAGCAGAGAAGCTGTCRGCTTGCCCTGCCTTTGTAGATCTGCAGGAATGCCTCACCAGGCTTTTTCCAAAAAAAATTAGCAAAGCCATCCAGGGGACAGTTGCTCCTCTGTGATGTTCAGGTTGTTTTTCCTGTGTATATTGGTGAACATGCAGAAAGAGCACGGTCCTGTGGAGTAAAGCAGCTGGATGATTTGGACAGTGGGGGCTCTCATGGAATTACAGGCCAGCACAGGGGAATTCTGCATGGCCTCCTGAGCTCCTGTCCAGCTGCTTGGCTGGGCACGTGGCCATGGGTGCCATGGGGTTCCTGCAGGTGTCTCTCTGCTAGGATGTGATCTTCCACCATGACACGAAGCCTCTGTTCAGATCAGGGTAAGAAGCAAACTCTAGGCATGCAAAGTCAGAGTTTGAAGTATCAGCAAATCTGGGGGTGATAGGAAGGACCCAGGTTTCAAGCAGTGGAAAGACAGCCAATGGAAATTTCCTGCCCTGAGTTGAGGATTTAACACAACCCCTCTCATGGCAGATGTTGCCACGTTGCCATGGCTCATGTGGCCAGAGGAGAAGCTCCCCTTCCCTGCAGGTGGTTGGGCAGAGAAACTGCTGTGCCCAGGTCTAGGCAGCCTGGCTCTTAGCTTGAACTGTGGCACAGTTGGTTTGAGCTTTGGTAGAGCAGGGAGCTGTGGGTAATGTCCAGAGATAGATGTGTCCATGTCTGGAGATGGATTTGTCCATCCTCTGCCCCTCTGGTGGTTTGGCATAAGCAAAGCACTAATGTCCCAAGCTTTGTTCTTGCAGTGGGAAAGCAAGCCTGCTCTCAAAAAGGAATGTTAAGAAGACTGATTCAGGGAAAAGTGATGGTGCCAACTATGAGATGCCAGGATCTCCTGAAGACGTGGAGAAAAACCAGAAGATCCTTCAGTGGATCATAGAAGGAGAGAAGGAGATCAGCAGGCATAAGAAAACAAACCATGGGTAAGGGCTGGCAGAGTGAGGGATAACCACACTGTTGTATTGCACAAGGGGGATGGGGCAGTAGTCTGCCTTCTCCCTGGACATCTTGGGAAGGCAAGAATCCACCACACAAGGGTTTAGACCCTTAGGAGACCAAGGATTACTTGGGGGCTGCAAGGGCTGCTGTTTCTGGGGGATAACTTGTGCCCGTGGCAGGAAGTTGCAACCCCAGGGGAATCTCAGAGGTTGCTGCTGTGGTTCCAAGGTGGATAACGTGGCACAGGGTAGGCAGGGGAGGGCATCCCCTGGGAAAATGTCACCAAAGATGGAGCTGCCTTTTCCTGACTTTATGTATTGGATTGATGGGAGCCCTCACACTGATCTGTAGGGTTTGTTTCAGGGTTGAGCTGCTCACCCTGATCAGAATCTCTAGATGTTGCTGTTGCTCCCTTCTCCCTCAGARGCCATGCTGTGAGGAGCTTCCCTGTGTCCAGGAATAGGTCCATTTGGGAATGACTGTGTGCCTGTGCAGAGCATCTCAGTGGTGCATGTGAAACCCTTGTGTTTGTGTGCAGCCCTTCAGGTGCTAAGAAGCAGCTGTCCCACGACCTGGTCCGGCCCCTGTCCATCGAGCGACCTGTCACCGTGCACCCGTGGGTCAGCGCCCAGCTCCGAAACGTCGTCCAGCCTTCTCAYCCCTTCATCCAGGATCCCACCATGCCGCCCAACCCCGCCCCCAACCCTCTCACCCAGCTGGAGGAAGCTCGCAGGAGGTTGGAAGAAGAGGAAAAAAGGGCTGGGAAACTCCCCCTTAAACAAAGGTACAGTTATGTGGTCTGATTGTGTGTGGGAGGGATGGRAGAGACTGCGCTGCGGGAGGTCCATGTCGTCTGCTCTGGTCTCCAGCATGCAGAGAGGTCACAGAAACTGCCTCATACCCTCTGACATGGCAGTGTGAATGCCAAACCCCACCTTTGCAGCCCTGGACTTGTGGGTGGAGAGGCTGGAAATGCTCCTGGTGGGGTGGAAAGGGGCTGGGCAGGGGGAGAATGTCTGTAAGGGGCAGGGCTGGCAGAGCTCTCTCCCCTGATACTTGCTTGCTTTCTGCTCATTCATGCTCACACAATGACTCCAGAGCTTGGTGCAGGAGCAGAATTCATCAGGATGCAGCAGAATTAAGTGCAGAGGACAAAYCTGTCTTTGCTTTTATCTCCATCTTGCACAAACTTCCGGCAAAGGCCTCTGGTTTGGAGCTCTGTGCTGGAGCCCTCCTGCAGCAGCTCTGACTCTGCATGGCCATATCCAAGTCCCTGCATCTTTTTGTGACTCAGCTCAATGGCTGTTGCAGAGCTCATTTTCCTGCTTGGTGTTATCTTTCAGGGAACRTTATTTGCAAGGCACATGGAGCTCTCTGGTGAAAAGCATTTTGGAAGTGCTAGATAATTACTGTTAACAGCTAAAAGCACTTTGTCCATTAAAAACCTTTCACAGCTGTCCTCTGAAAACGTGGAACTTTGCGGTCTGACTCTTAGAAACACAAGTGTAATTTTAAAAAGAAGCTCTTAATTGACAGGCTCCAGTTATTTTTGCTTGCAGTGACCACGTAGCAGATTTCTGTGTATTCATGTCAGAGCATTGATTGAAAGCCAGGTAATTAGAGGGCTCTCCCAAGCCAGGTTAAGCCAAGTTTATGTGATCTACCTTTCAGCGTGTGTAATTGGATAGGGTTTATTAGCAGAGTCATTTATAGTTGCACTAAATTCATGCACCTTCCCCAAGAATGCCTGTGCATACTTTGGAAACAGCAGCCTGGGCCGTGCAATTAATACTTTGACAATAATTTGGCCTGTGTTTTAAGAGTGGTTTGTGGAGGAAGCCCATGGAATGTGGTGAATGCCAGGCAGGCCAGCAGCAGGATGGGCTGAGCAGCCCCAGTGATGGGATCCCCCAGCCCTGCCCCACACCCAGAAAACCAGTGGGGAGCTGCTCATGAAAAGCAGATGTGTCTGTGTCCAGTAGCAGGCAAGAAATGGATGCAGTGATCCCTAGGGAGCCAAAGATTTCTGGATGTTGAAATCTCCCTGCTGGATTTGGCAGGATTGGGTGCTCCAGCTGGAGCACACCTGAGCTGGCAGCTCTTTAGAGAGCTCCTGCTCTGGTTAGTCCAGGAGCCTGCCTGGAAATAGATCCCACAGCTCAGTGAGAACAAAGTTGAAACATGAAAACACCATTTATTTCAGTCAGGAGCTTTGAAGAGCTCTGGGAAATTGAAGCCAGTGGCCCAGGTTTGTCAATAGCCTTGGGGAAGCATGGAGAGGTGGAGGTGAGCCCGGAGGTGTCCTTGAGGCTCCAKTTGAGCTGGCTGTGGGTGGAGAGCACACTGTGCCAGCTTTCTACAGCCAGACTGGCCTTGCCAGCACGGTTATCTGTCTCTCCAGCCCCTCCTCTGTGGCACAGCCCTCCCAGCAGCCTTCCCCACCAAACAGCCACTGCCTCCCAGCCCTGCACTGCCCCACTGCAAATCGAGGCACCTGCAGTGGCTCTACTGGCAATGGTAAATAYTCTTCCAGAAAAAGCATTTTTCTCCCTATCTCTCCCTATTTGGAATGACCCTGATCTCTGAGCTGGCTGCTGCTGGCAAGCAGTGCAGGATTGACCATCCAGTACTAATGACCTGTAGATCCAGCAGCACACCAGTGCCCAGCACTGGTGTCCCAGTGACCATCAGGTTTTTCCATGTACAGAAGGTTTTCAGCTATTTCCTGTAGCTCAGTCTCACAGTTCACAGCTGGATGGAAGTAATTAATACATAAAAAAATCCTCAGAGAAAGGGGTTTTTTTTGCAAGCAGGGATAACATTTAGCATGATTTCAGTTTGGAATTAATTGTGTTGGGCCAAGTTTGGAAGAGGAGCAGAGCTGGTGGCTGGGACACCCCCTGAGGCAACATCTGCTGGGTTCATTTTTGGCTTTCCAAAGCTCTCCAGCCCCAGGGYTGAGTTGGAGCAAGCTGGACACCTGTGCATCACAGCAAGGTTGGATTGGTACTGCAAGCCAGACTCAGGTTCCCTGCCACAGTGCTGGTGGGATGCAGASCTGAGCAGTCAGGGCTGGGATGCAGATGCAGTGAGTGGGATGAGTGCTGCTGCTTCCCTGCTGGATAATGTTTTGTGCTTGTGACAAACAGGCAGAGGGAGGTGATCCCAGAAGGGGCAGGGTGTGGCTCCTGGCAGTGTTTCTGGGTCACATTGACACCCAGGAGATGGGTGCAGGTGGAAGATTTAATGAGGCAGGGCTCAGAGTCGGTCTGGTGGCCTTTATGTGCAAGCCAAGGTCTCAGGAGATCTCTTGGCAATGACGAAAGTGGAGACAGTTGTGTTGTTTCATTCTCCTGAGAGGAGCTCTTTGGAAAATTACATTTTCAGTGCTTCCATATTCGTCAGCTCTGCTTTAGCMTGCTAGAAGTCTGTGGCTGCGGTTTGTGGTGTGTGTGAGTTCTGCTGATAGAATTAAAGCAATAGGAAAAGCTTCTCTTGGTGCATTGGTGATGAAAGGAAGACTGKGGGAAACATGGGCTCTGTCTAGGAGGAAATGGGAGAGCTGGTTACCTGAGGCATGCAGGAGGCTGAGCTACTCAATGGCTTTTTGCTTTGGTCTTCACCAGTGAGTTCTCCAACCACAGCACCCGAGACAGAGAAAGGAAAGGCAGGGAGTTGGAGGAAAAAAAAAACCACCCACAGTAGAAGATCATCTCTGAAACCATCTAAAGAACCTGAAGACCTGATGAAATCCATCCAYGGGTCTGAGGGCACTGGTGGATGAAGTGTCTCAGCCACTATCCATCATATTTAAGAAGTGATGGCGGTCCAGACAAGTTCCCACTGACTGGCAAAGGGAACTCATAAGCCCCTATTTTTAAAAAAGAGGAAAAAAGGAAGGCTTAGGGAACTAAAGGCCCGTCAGTCTCCCCTCTGTACCTGGCAGGATCACTATTGGGCATCACTTCAGGCATCACTTTCAGGGCACATCTCACTGGAGCCAGGCTGAGCACATTCAGACTGGCCCTTCAGGTGTGAAGTGCACAGCAGGAGGAAGGACACTCCCAGCCATTGGCAGAGCTCAGGGATGTCCTGTCCTCTCCACCTCCCCAGGCAAAGGAGAGCAGCAGCCCTGWGGAGCCAGCTCTGCTCCTGTGCCAGGCTCGTCACCGTGTCCCCAGGTCCCCAGGCACACAGCAGCCCTCTCTTAGTCATGACTYGTCTCTAGCAGGATTAAGAGAAGCTTAGGGACTTTGAGGTTTTCCAAACCCCTTCAATTAACTTCTGGCTCACAGGGTTCACAGAATTTGCCTGAATTTATGACCCATTTTTCCTTTAAATGCCTCATATTTTTTTTTCCAAGGATGACTCAATTCCTTAATGTTTTTCTAGCTAAAGGGCATCCTGTGCTTTGATACAGGGACGGAAGAGGCTCCGAGAGCTCTGCTGGCACCGGGAGCAGACCCTTGCCTCTCAGAGTGCTGCATCTTCTCCAAAGGTCTCCCAGGCAGAGCAGGCACCTGGAAGATTGTTCAGTTGAACTTTAGACCTCTCATGCCCGTAGGAAGAGGTGGAAAGACTGTGCTTGGTGTTGGTTTGCAGTGCCAGTGTTTGTGTGGGCACACCATGAAAAGGTGCTCTGCCCGCCAGCCACTGTTTAAAGGTTAAGGTCAGAGTCATTTCCAAAACTGCGATTACCTCATGTGCTTGGCAGATTCTGGGGTTTTTACAGCAACTTTCCAGCCATGCAAATACAAAATCATCTTTTTTTTATCTGGCGTGCTTTTAAAATATTTTTTTTAATGCTGCCAAATGTGTTTTATGTGACTTTGAAAGAGAAGGCTGCCTCTGGCTCAGACCACGCATGCCAAGGTACCAATTTGTGTAGGCTGCTTCAGTGTTTGTGCAGCATTTTCAGCCCCCCAGATGAAAGGCTCTGCAGAAGGGCAAAGCACCCTCAGTTGTATTATTGTTGCATTTGTCTGCCTCTGAAAATGGGGTGAGGGTTGGGCTGGCRGTTTCGGTCCAGTGATGGCACCACATAGCAGAACCCTGGTGTGTGGGCTGGCAGCAAAGACCACACCAACATTCTGAGAGCTGGGRAAACACAGGAGGTGTCAAGTGGCTGAGGCTTTGGGGATGGCGGCTGCCTTGGCACCCTGCATGGGCAGGACGGGCAGCAGAGTCTGGACATGCTGTGCTGGGAGCTCCATCCCCTCAGACCTCCATGTACACTGGGAGAGGTGCCCAGGGGAGCTGTGGGGTGCAGGTGCAGCCTGAGCAGTGCCTGCATGGCCATGCCCTGCAGGAGGATGCTCCAGCCCTGTGTCCTGTGTGTATGAGGAGTGTGGTGATGATGGTGATGGTGATGATGGTGATGGTGATGATGGTGACCTGGCCCTGCTGCCTCAGCCTGGGGTGCTCTGCCAATGACTCCCCAAACCGTGCTGTGAGGAGGGCTGTGCCCTCTCAAAGCCTGGGGACAGCACAAAGGAACTGATTCAGAGCCTGCACCCTCCTTGTAGCTGTGTCCTGGCCCCATCCAGCCTTTCCAAGTGCTCSTGACCAGCCTTGGTGTGTGGCTGTGCCGGGGGAGCTGCTGGTGGGAGCAGGGGATGCTCAGGGACCGCACTGCATTTCCTGTGCATTTCCTGAGCCGTTCCTCTCCCCCAGCCCCCCGAGCCCAGCCAGGTTACCCAGCACGATGGTGATAAGCCCCATGGGCTGGCCCTGAGCAGCTCCCCTGGTCTCTGCCCAGCAGGTTGAAGCCCCAGAAGAGGCCGGGCAGCGGCGCGTCCCAGCCCTGCGAGAACATCGTGGTCGCCTATTACTTCTGCGGGGAGCCCATCCCCTACCGCACCCTGGTCAAGGGCCGCGTGGTGACGCTGGGACAGTTCAAGGAGCTGCTGACCAAGAAAGGGAACTACAGGTAAGGGCTGCTCCCCGCTTTAGGAAGGTGCCAGTGGCTGTCAGTGACCCTGGGCAAGTGCCACTGCCAGGATGCCACAGCGCTGCCCCCATGAAGGGCAAGGTTGGGGGAGGTGGGTCAGGAGGATTCCCTTAGGGGTGGGGGTATGGCAGCACGGTCAGGGCGCCTTGGCTGCTGAAGAGGCAGGTTAGCAGGGGTGAGGGATGTCGGGTTTTGTAGCAGAAATGTCCTGCATCRTGGTTTGCACCTCCGACAGAAGCTGCTGAGCTGCTCTGCAGGGTCCTGGGCTGGCATGGAGCAGCATCAGCCACTGCTCAGTGATGCTGTAGGGACCCTCTAAATTCAGAGCTGTTTTGGCTGCTCTCAGAGTTCCCTTTTGTGAGGACAGGGAGGCTGGGGCCTGCCAGAGTCCCAAAGCAGCCAGATGTGGGGCCTGTAGCTCTCCAGGTTCCCTCTTTCAAGTAAGAGCTGCTGTGGGAAAGCTTGCCTAGAAATGCTCCACCAACACAGGTGTCTCAGCTACTGCTTTTGGGAGAGCTGTGAATGGGCCTGGGTTCAGGGCTGGAGCTCCTGACCATGCTAACATGGGTCCYGACCACTTTTTTGTTCACTGTTGAGGGCAGGGGCAGGAGTGTGGCCTCAATTCCCTCCATGTCTGGAGGAACAGCTTGCTCTGCAYCATGAGCTCGGAGCCATGGAAGGGCTGTACCCAGATCTGGGGATCATGGTGCTCTATGACCATCCACCTGCTTTTTTTTCACTCTACCCCTCTCCACATTTCTGTTTTTTCAGGTATTACTTCAAGAAAGTGAGYGATGAGTTCGACTGTGGTGTGGTCTTTGAGGAGGTGCGGGAGGATGACACCATCCTGCCCATCTTTGAGGAAAAGATCATCGGCAAGGTGGAGAAGATTGATTAGGCTCCAGGCAGTGAGGACAGGACTGTGAAGGACTCTGGGACCGGAGGAGAAGGCCTGGGGCAGATGCTGCTGCCAYGGGCRCCAGGCGAGCCCAGGGCGGAGGGCRGCGGCTCCGCTCCCCAGCRCGGATCTGGGCAAGCTCCAGGATGCCGGTGGATGCCCTTTCACCCCACAAACCTGCCCGTGGGAGCCTGGGCTCCCTCTCCATACCGAATATAAGTGTAATGTAGCATTGTACAGTGCATTAGAAAGTGTAATATGACCTTGTTTACTAAAGCTGCATATTTTTGATATATTGTAATAAAAGGAAAATATTTCCAATGTCACAGTGCTCTTATGTAAATGTAAAACATACAGGTACTGCAGAACTCGCCCAAAGTGTACAGCCATCCGTCAGACTCCGGCTGCTCCGTGCTTTCCYGGCACCCTGCCCCGTTTTCCCGGCGTGGATGGCTCTGGAGTGCCCTCACCTCACCGGTGTGGAAGGGGCGGSCCCATCCAAAGGGGCTCTGAAGATTATTGAGCCGTTTGGAAGGAGTCATCTCTGGCCTCCTTGGCAGGCTCAGCTCTGGACATGGTAGGATGGGTCTTTTTTTCTCCTCCTGAGCTTCCTTGCGACCGAGTAAATCCCCGAGGAGTAGAAGGGTCAGTGCCTGAGGGGACTGGGGCCTCAGAGCCAGGGTGGCAGGCTGGGTGCTGGCATCACACAGCCCACACCCTCCTGTGTGTCCCCTGTGCCCCTGGAGAAGGGATTGCTTCCTAGGTTCTGTGCCTGGTGCAGACAGCCCAGACCCCTGGCCAAGCTCTGGCTTTGGCAGGGAACTCTTTAAGAGAGCCATAATGGGGAGGGAACTGATGAAACCTTAAAGCTGAAGACAAAATATAKCTTTTTCTGAGCCCTGCATCTTTTGTCAGCTTCTGTGTCTCAGGGGAGGCAGCAGGAGGGCACTGCACCAGGRAGGTCACTGATGCCAGTCTGTGGCTCCTGCAGGGCCAGCAGRCAGCCCTGGGAGCCTCCTGGGCTTACTCGGCCGCAAGGAAGCCCAGGCTGTGCCGGTGCTCCCCCCACCCTGCCCTCGCCCAGCCCAGGCCGTGCCATGGCTCTGTGCCAGCTCCTTTGGAGACCAGCCCTTGCCCACCCACAGAAATGGGTGACCCCAAAGCCTGGGGGATCCACGTTGGTGCTGGCCCTGCCCCGCTGGAGCTGCCGGGACCCCGTGGCACCGCGCCGGGACCGACTCCGCCTGTTGTACATGTCACCGAGTGCCTTTCAAACACCGTTCTGGGACTTGCCTAATACACTACGTCAAGTCCAGCAAACTCTGCAAATGTTTTCAGCCTGGGAACAGCGTTACGAGGGGTGTTAGTCCCTGTTCTTTGAAGTTCTGATGGTGGTGTGTCTGGTGAGGTTGTTGGCGTGCCCGGGATTTCCGTCTCCCCCTTTTTTCTCAGGGGGTCCCTGTAAATATGTACAGCGGCCGTGCAGCCCCGGCGACGTTTCCTCTGCATTCTCATGTGCTGACTTGTACAATGATCTTTTCAAAGGTACTTGGATAAAATGAAATAAAACCCCACATCCCACCGCCTGCTGCTTTTATTCCTTCYCCGCGGAGCAGAGCCGGGCTCTCAGCAGCCTCTGGGATGGGCAGAGGATGGGGCAGGTCCAGCACAGGGTCTGAGCACATGGCAGGGCTGGGGCTGCTCTGGATGCCCTGGAGGGGTGGCTGAGCAGGGCTGGCCTGCTCAATCAACATATTKCCCCTAAAGGAGTGGCTCAGGGGAGAGGGGACAGTGCTGGAGTTGCCAGAGGCTAGAAGCCAGGCTTAAGTGCCCGTAGAATCCCATGCTGCCTGCCTTGGATGTGACAGCAGCTCCTGGGGCTCCCCTGGATCTGGTGTGTCTTGAAGGAGGGACCCCACTACCTGAACCCCACAGTCGAGCTCAAGGGCCAGCACGGAGAGCACTGGGCTCCTTGGCCACCCCGTGCCATTGCAGTTGCCAGGACCAGTGCTATGGCACAGCAGCCACAGGGGACACGGGGCTGTGCCCATCATCAGCCCTGCTGTGTCCCCAAGGCACGTGGGTGCTCGCAGCACTCGGAGCGCAGACACAGACAGAGCCCACATTGTTTCCAGGTGGTTTATAGCATGTGGCTGGGTGGGACAGGGCTCACAGCTCATCCCGCGATTCCCCTGCCCCCGACGCACTCGRGTCCTCCTTGGCCGTGCCATTGCCAGGGCTCTTGGTCACCTGGGGAAGGCAGTGAGACACGGATGGGCACACTGACCATCCTTCATCACTCCTGACCCTGTCACCATTCCCATCCTGCAGGATCCAKCCTCTCACCCAGCAGGGGCTGGGGGCTGTCCTGGGGAGGGGGTGGGTCCCTGACCTCACTCACCGGAGGCGGCTCCTCAGGCAGCGTCCCCCCGTTTTCCAGGAACTTGGAGAAGGTCTCTACATCTCTGGTGCCCTTGTACTCAACCATCTGCAGCCATGGGAGGGGAGGGCACTGAGGGTGCCACCGTCCCCCGGGGCTGGTGCCCCCTGAGTGCTCACACCTACCTTCCTGCCCGGCCCCGCGGGGAAGTAGTGCAGGGTGGGGAAGCCGTGGATGGTGATGTTCTCCAGCTCGTTGGCCGTGGAGTCCATCTCGGCGATGACRATGTCCTCGCGGTCCTTGTAGCGCTCAGCCAGCTCCTCCCAGGCGGCCGCCATGGCCTGGCAGTGGGGGCACCACGGCGCRTCTGTGGGTGGGCACAGAGCCGAGGGGTCTGTGATGGGGCTGGGGGCTGTCCTGGAGGGGCTGAGCCCCACGGCAGAGCTCGGGGAGGGCTGTGAGCAGCCCTGGAACTTACAGAACTTGACAAAGACATTCTTGGTCTCGTCGAACGCCACTTGCTCAAAGGTTTTCCCCACCAGGACTTTAACAGGCYGCGTGTCCCAGTCCTCAGGGGGCTCCGCACTCAGAAGGTGAGGCTGCRGGGACACAACAGCCACAGCCTGGGCTGAGCAGTGCCAGGGCCCGTGGGGCACAGTGCAGGCTGGGTGAGGGGTACCCCAGCAGGCAGCCATGCACATTCCTGTGCTGCCTTTTGGATCACTCCTTTCCCTCTGTGCCATCCCAGCTCTGTGTGTCTCCGTGGCAGCAGTCTCCTGCTCCCTTTCCCATAACAAATCCCCAAATTCTCAAGCCTGGCAGCAGCAGTATCAGCAAACAGGTGCCTGGTGTTCACTGTCATCACGGGGCTTAGGAGTCACAGCCCTCACCAGAGCAGAATCCATCGGTGCTGCACCTCTCACCTTCACCTTGCCGTCCAGCACCGCCTGGATGAAGGAGCGAATGGCTGAGGCCGAGAAGTCGTCCTGCTCCATCTGGTACTTGCGGTTGTTGTCCATCTTGACGAGGCGCAGGGTGGGGGCGTCGTCGGGGGTCATGCCAAAGAAGGGCAGCACGTCGGCACCGTGCCCGGTCACATCCACCACCACAAAGAGCACCTGGGCAGGAACGGGGGACACTGAGGCTGGGGAGTCCCAAAACCACCCTCCAGGTCCCCACCATGGGGCCACCTCACCTCACCCCGAAAACCATCGGCAGCTGCCCTGAAGCCGTCCCGCAGCGACAGCTGCTCYGATGATGACTTGTTGAGGAAGAGCAGCATGTGGTGGGGGATCTTGGCACCAAAGATCTGGTTGGATGTCTGGGGAGGAGGAGGAGGAGGAGGATGAGGAGGAGGATGAGAGCAGGGAGCACAAGGCCATCACAGGACAGTGACAGGGCTGGGGAYGGGCTGTACCTCGTTGGTGAACTCCATCACCAGCTTCAGGCTGTGGACACGGAGCAGCCGGGTGAGCTCGGCCCTGTCCAGCCCCTGCGCCGGGTCCACGGGGAAGTTTGTCTGTCTCTCATCAAACTGCCGGGTCAGGGGACAGTGAGGACTGGGAGGGGGGACAGCATGGCCCCACCACTCCCCTGCCACCCCCTCACCTTCTTGAACAGGCAGACGGTGTCAGCTGACAGCCCGTACGCCTGGAAGAGCTCAGCTGCCTCTGCAGCACCAAACGTCAGGTCCAACATCTCGACAGCCACGTCAAAGAACGCCTGGGCTGCCTCACCCTTCAGGTCCTGYACAGCCACCCTTCAGTGCCAYGGCCACRGCTACAGCCACTGTCCAGCCCCCAMCCACCCCAGCCCACCTTGAAGAAGCCGATGACCACCAGATCCTGGGAGCTGACAAAGGCGGCGGCCGTGTCGGTGTCCTGCAGCAGAGTGGCGCTGGGGCCGGCCCGGCGCTGCATCCAGCGCACGATGCCCTGGCTGTCCATCCGGCCTGGCACACGGAGCGGGGTTCCCATCCTCACCTGACACCTGTCACCAGGCTGCCACCCCTCCCTGTGCCACCAACCACAGCCACCCATCACCACCACCACGGCACTGCCCACCATCACCACCTCTGCACCATCACCAGCTGTCACCTGTCCACTGTCACCACCAGGACATTGCCACCCCTCTCACCATCACCACCCTCTGACCCCCACCAGGACATTGCCACCCCTCTCACCATCACCACCCTCTGACCCCCACCAGGACATTGCCACCCCTCYCACCATCACCACCCTCTGACCCCCACCAGGACATTGCCACCCCTCTCACCATCACCACCCTCTGACCCCCACCAGGACATTGCCACCCCTCTCACCATCACCACCCTCTGACCCCCACCAGGACATTGCCACCCCTCTCACCATCACCACCCTCTGACCCCCACCAGGACATTGCCACCCCTCCGACCATCAGCTCCGCCCCAGCCCCATGGCAGTGTCCCCCTCGATGGGCACCACAGCCCTACCGGTGTATGCCAGGGGGTGGGTGCGGTTGCCATCACGGAAGAGCTTCAGCGTGGGGTAGGAAGTGATGCCAAACTCGTTGGCCAGGGCTGTCTGTGCCGTGGCATCCACCTTGGCCAGCCGGGCCRGGCTGGACTCGTTCCTCAGCTCAGTGGCTGCCTGGGCAAAGGCRGGGGCCAGCTGCTGGCAGTGCCCACACCACGGCGCGTCTGTGGGCAGGGGACAGCACTGATCATGGGGACAGTTTGTGGTGTCCCTGATCTTCAGGGTGGGCTTGTAACAGCCTTGTGAGTCCACTGGGGCCCATTTTGTGCCCCTGTCCCACACCCACACTGTGTGTCCCTGTCCTGTGTCCCATGCCTGTGCTACACACCCCCCGCCCCTCACCTCTGCCTGTGTCCCTGTTCCATGTCTCTGTCCCCATCCCAAKGCATCACATGGCCTGTGCTCCTGCCCCTCTGACTCACAGCCTTGCCCCCACCCAATTCACCTCCCCCCATCCTGCACCTGTGCCCACGTGTCCTATCTGCCCACACTCAGCCATGGCTGGTGCCCCCTGCCAACACTTTCCTACCCCACATTTGCCCCTGCCCACAGTGGGGGCACTCACAGAACTCCACCAGCAGCAGCTGGTTCTCGCTCAGGGCACGGGCAAAGTTGTGCTCATGGAGCACCAGGACATTGTCCTCCTCCTTGATCTCATCTGAGARAGCTTCATCCTCTTTCTTCTCCTTTTCCTTCTCTTCTACCACCTCTCCATCCTTCTCCTCGCCCCCCAGCGCCGGGCCCAGCCAGGCCAGCGACAGCACCAGCAGCCAAAGCAGCCGGGACCCGCAGCCGCGCATGGTGCCGGCGCTGAAGAGCTGTCCRGGGGCAGGACACAGATAAGGGCCCTGGGGGCGGGTGGTGCCGGTGCCCTGGGGCTCGTGGCCCTTCTCTACTGGCTGCCCGGCCCCGCCGATAAGGAGCGGCACCAGCTGCCTGTTTTCCAGCCGCTCGTCGCCGCAGGAAGACCTGGCCCCGCCAGCGGGATGGGGACAGGGACAGGGGGGGACAGGGACGGGGACGGGGGAAATTGGCGATGGGGAGCACACACACACACCAGTAAGAGACCAGTCTGTAGGGTTTAATGGCGATGGAAGAGCACAGCCTGCGACCGGGCGGGTACCGGACACGGCACCACCACGGCAGGGTCACAGCCCCGGCCGCAGCGATGGGGACGCCGAGAGGACCAGGCGGGCGTCGATATTTAAAAAAAAAGAGCAATTAAAAATAACTTTGGTTGCGAAGACCACGATCACGGGCTCTCACTCGCTAAGGGACCCCCCTCAACCCTTGACGCGACTGGGGCAAGCGCGGCGGGGCCGGCGAGGGTCCCCCGGGATGGCGGCACCGCGTCCCCGAGCTGGCGGGGGGAGCCGGGGTGCGGGTGGGGGGTCAGTCCTCCCAGGCCTTCTTTATGCAGAGCCCCCACTCCCAGGAGAGGTGCTCCGTCTTGTCGTCGTCGGTGACGAGCGAGCGGACGCGGTAGGAGCCCCGTGCCAGCCATCCCCGCGGCGCCTCCTCCGCCGGCGTCACCACCTCGTACTCCTCGGCCCGCGGCGCGTAGCTGCCCACCATGAACACGTCGCGATCCACTGGAGGAGGGGACGCAGGGACGGGTGAGTGGGGCCAGGGTGGCGTGGGGACCCCCAGCCCCGGCCCCCCAGCCCCAGCCCCACTCACCGGGCCGGCCCCGGCGGTAGGTGAGGTGCAGGCAGCGCAGCCCGCAGACGATCTCCCTGTTCACCTGCGGGCAGAGGGCAGGGAGGACATGGGTACTGTGCCATGGCACGGGGACCCCTGGCCTTGGGCACATCCGCCTCTTCCAGGGTCCAGCCCCTTGTCAGGATTCAGCATTGGCAAAGGTGGCAGGGACCCAGAGATGGCAGGGATCCCCCCCTCGGGAGGGGCAGGGACTTCCAGGAAACCCTGGGACAGGCAGCATTGCTGGGATCTCTGGGAGAAGCAAGGACTTTGGGGTGGCAGGAGCCATCAAGAGGGGCAGGCACCCTGGGGTGGCAGTCATGATGGGGACAGCAAGGACACGGGACACTGGGGAACTCAGGGTGGGCAGAGACCCCCAGAGGGGCACAGAGCCCAGGRGTAAAGGGGTGGAATCAGATGTGCCAAGGCAGAGACTCTGGGGCATTTAGGGACCTGTGGGTGACAGAGGGACCCTGTGGGGCAGGGACATGTGGGAAAAGACCCATGGGGAATCCAGGATGCGAGGGCAGGGACCAGGATAACAAGGASCCCTGGAGGCAGGGACACCCTGGTGTGAGGGCAGCAGGGCCATGCCCAGCATGAGCACAGGGCACCGCGCACTGTGGTCTCACCTTGAAGGACACCTTCACCCTGTAGTCCACCCCTTCCTTCAGCACAAAGGCCCGGCCCCGCAGCTCCTCCAGGTCTCCTGCACAGGCACATGGTCCATCAGCCCGGCTCCCCTCCTTCCTCCTCCTCCTCCTCCTTGCCCCCCAGGTGTCCCCACAGCTCACCTGTCAGGTCCATGGTGATGGGCCCCGGTGCCTGCTCGCACATCAGCGTCAGCCTTGTCACCTGCACGTTGGGCACGCTGGCATCTAGGGACAAACAGCAGGGCCCAGCCCTTACCCACCATGCCCAGTCCAGCACCACCTCCATCCCAGTGAGCCAAGGGAATGCCATGGCCCTGGAATGGCAGGAAGGGCCATTGTCCCTGACGGGGKTGTTCAAGCCAGCGAGTGCCAGGCAGGGCACAGGAGAGCAGGGCCACCTCAGGTCACCCCATCATTGGTGTCAGCCTTTTGGGGTAAGATGACGTTTAAAGGACGGGGAATTTCCCAGGGTGTACCATTGCCTGGCTCAGCAGGAGCGGGACAAGGGGAAGCAGAGGAGGAGGAGGAGGAGGATGCAGCACGTGCAGCCAAGGCATCCCTTGAAGTGAGCAGTGGTTTAATTCCCCCCACCAGCCCAACCTGCACCCCCTCAGCTTTCACACGTACCACGGTGCACYCTCATGCACCCCACTGGTTTGCACACCCCCGCCTCCCCAGTTTGCACCCTCCCCAGTGCACTCATGGATGGACACGGAGGTGCTGCGCCCGTGGAGCACCCCAGGGACCCCCAGAGCAGCCCAGCACCAGCCTGGGGGCTGCAGTGGAGGCCATGGGGAGCGGGGGGCACCGCCTGCTCACCGGCMGCCGTGCTACCCCGGTGTCCCTCCCCCCCGCCCCCGCCGCTCGCTCCTCTCCGTCATCCCCATGAATTTCCCGGTTCCCTGTAGCCGTTCCTATGGAAACTGCGGCGGTGATCCCGTAACCAAGGCAACTGGGGTCCCCGGGCACTGCTACTCTGTCGGCAGGGGATGCCGGGGTCTCTGCGCGGGTGGGGGGCACGGGCAGCACCCACGGGAGATTCCAGCCGGGCCGCCCCCTCCCCGCCGGGGATGCCCCACGGGACGCTCCCCGCTCCCGCCGAGGCTGCATYCCCAGCCGGGCTGCCAGCCCAGAACGCCCCAGCAGCCCCCAGCCTTACCCACGGCAGCCGGGATGGCACCCAGCAGTGCCTGCTTATACTTCCGCAGGCTCTCATCCCCTGGGTCCAGCTCCTGGATCTCCCGCAGGCTCTTCTTCTCCGGCGTCTTGTACGCCAGGGCCACGTCGGCATCCTCCTCCTCCTCCTCCAGCGATAGCGTCACCCCCTCCTTGTCAGCCATGATGTCTGCGGGGGACAGGCAGTGGCAGCCCGGGGACACCCCCGGGGGACACCCGCCCCCGACACGAAGGCAGCGGTGGGCAGGGGGTGGCCGGGCTGGGACATGCCACGGATGGATGTGGGAAATCCCTGTGGGGAGGCCGAGTCGCTCCCCTGCTCGGAGCCGTGGGGACGCTGCCAGCCTCGGTGTCCCCGGGGCCTGGTGGCACAGCTGAGACCAGAGGTGCCGCCGCCGGCCGCATTTCCGCACGGTCATGGAGCACGGCGAGCGGTGCCTGCGCGGTGTGCTCGGTCTGGGGCGGGCTGGCAGATCCCTCCAGCCCCCAGACCCACTTCGTGTCACCCGGGGAAGTCCTTGTCACTGCCCTGCGGTCCCCTCCAACCCCGGTGGGCAGCCAGCAGCCCCATCTCCCACCCCAAACSCAAACCACCAGCAGCTGCAGGGGGAAAAGGCATCTCTGGGATAAACGGAGGCTCCGGTGCTGCTGGGGACACAAGGGTGGGTGATGTCCCCACAGYCCCTGACCCGGCCTGCCCACCGCATCACCCCCCGCTCCTGTGACTGCAAGCACTGAGCTCCCCAAAGCCCCGTGAACCCCATCCCTGGGGACATGCTGGGGACACAGCACCGAGCACAGACCACTGCCTGCGCTCAGCCGCGGGGCCATAGGGCCGAAARTGTGGGGCCACAGGGCCAAAATGGGGATCCCCAGGGCATTGGCRGTGCTGGGGACACAGCAGTGGTGGCCCTGCTGCACCTCTGGGYCCCCCACCAAGGTGCTGCCCCTCGGCTGTCACGGCAGCGTGCGGGCACTCCCAGCCCAGGGATGCACCCACCCGGGACTCGCTGGCTGCCCGCGGGTGGCGGGGCAGGGGGGCATGTGCCGGGTGTCACAGGCTGCCAGGTGGCGGGGGGACGGCGGGGGTCTCCCCCGCGGGACGCGCCGCTCCCCCCGRGCCCGGGGTGATGCTCACTCATGGATGCAGCGGGTGCCCTGGGGACGCTCACCTGTTGGGGACTCGTAGTGATGCTCGCCCCCCCCCTCCCTGGAGCAATGCCCCCCGCCGCCCCCGGGCGCTGCCCCCCGGCCGCCGCCGCTCACCTCGGTAGCACAGCGCCAGCCAGAGCAGCTCCAGCAGCTGCCCGCCGGCCTCGCACACGT